AAACAAGCACTCTTCCTCTTCGTAGTTAATTGACGACTTACGCGAGAGTAACCTGCCAACTTGTGTCACGGGGGTCAAACAATAGTTTCAAAGCCCTCTTCCCTCTTGACAACATAGGAGGAGAGAATGTGCTAAACGAAGCGCGTTTACGAACACCACTTACCGAGCAGAAGCTGGGCTTGGATCTTAAAAACAATTTACGTACGCGTATTAATTACAAAGAACAAGTAGTCTGTTAAAATCGAGCAAACAAAATTCTTAAATTATAAGGCATTCGGGTTAACTCTGAGCTCCTCACAAAGTTTCTCTTTTTTTCTAAAGGCTCTACGGGGAACAGTCTCGGCGTAATGGGAAGAATCAATTGATTTCTCTATTTTCCCAGTTAAAACCCAACTGCTCGCCTTTTTAGGAGTCCCCCTCGTCATTTTCTTGGGGCTGCTTTTTTCTCTTAGTGCTTCCACGTCTTTTCTCTCCCATCCACTTCAACAGTTTAATAACAAGAACAGTTAGGATGCTGCCGATGATCGAAACAAAACAAAGTACTCCAAAAATATTCATTCGGGGAAGACATTTTCAGAGTTTAAAGTAGTTCACGTAGTTCACGGACACCGTTGAAAGTCTTCAGTTTACCAAATTGGGAAACTGTGCAAGTCCTTGCCGTCTTTGTCTTTTATGATGCGAGAGCTGAGCAAATCTGACCTGAACTGTCTGACAAGTTGTGCGTTCCGAATGGACTATGATAAGACGCAACTTTGCGTAATGTCACGCACTATCTAACGGCGGTTGTGGTCAATTCCAGCTCGGACGGAGACTACTTTTTCCCCGAACGGAAGCAAATCAACAGAAAGAAGCGATAGACTTCTTTTTGCGTTTGTTCATTATTAAAGGATACTTTTCTCCACGAAATAACAGATGCTTTTTTTATAAATTAGCAAATTCTGTTGCGTGATAATTACATTCATAAGGCCCGAGAAATAACTGTTACGTTGTGCCTAAAGAACTGATGTCAAAATGGGTATCGATCTGCAACAAGGTTTTTGATGAGCCGTAGCAGAAATCATATGGACATTGATTTTGTAAGGATTGTCTGGAGCGTCTCTTAGAGTAAGTCTAAATTCCCCCATTTTGACTACCTATCTCTTATCCGCTGTCAGTCAAAAATGAGATTGCTTAAGAAAATTGAACTCTGACTTGCTTACATTTCTATTTGGTCGCCGATGGGGCTCTGAAAAAATTTCTGCCGTAAGTGTCCATAAACAGGTGTAAATTAAATGATATCCGAGTTATAATTACGTCCGACACTTTTCCCGCCTCGGATGGGAAACGCCGTCGGAATTCAATGACTTAGGACGCACATGTACCGGAAATAGGCGCAGAGGATATGATTTTTATAGCTACATAACTTTCAATTTTCTACCTTTCAGACAACAAAACCGAGGATGTCCGATAGATGGTAAATCAATTTCCAAACAGCAGTCTTTCTGTCGGTCCATAACGATACCGCTTGAGAAAACAGAACTCTACTTTGTTTACATTTGAATTTGGCTGTTAAGGGTTTTTTTAAGTAGCGCTAGTAGCACCAGTAGTACTATTAGTACTGGTAGTACTAGTTGTGGTAGTAGTGGTAGTATTAGTAACAGTATTAGTAGCAGTAGTAACAGCAGTAGTAGTAGTAGTATTAGTATTAGTAGTAGTAGTTGTACTTGTAGTAGTAGCAGCAGTGGTTATAAAAGTAATGGTAGTAGCTATAAAAGTAGTAGCAGCAGTGGCAGTTGCCTTAGTAACGGAAGCAATTGCTTGCACAAAATTAAAAATATGACAATTTGAACAGAGCTGATGTGGTTGTCTTTTGAATGAAAGTATCATAATATCGCAAAATTTGAAATTGATATCAATGATGACAAATAATGAGACATTCTGATGCTTATAAAGTTTAAAATGAAACTATATATAACAGGCATAGAGGAGTGGTAGTAGCATCATCTGGTCTACCTCTGTCTCAGATAAAAGTGAATGTACCTCAACAACAGGGTTCCCGCAAGCGACTAAGTTGGCGCATAAACCAGTGCGTATCCCACGAGGTAATCCCATTCTCTGTAGGATCCTTTTCCTTTCCACGATTGCGCCATGAGGACAATCACCACAGACTATCCGAGGTTTCAAATGGAACTTCTTTCTTCTCTGGAGGACCTCAGGACTCTGCTAGACTGAGCGTTTCAGCTTAGGGGAGAAGACTAAAAGAATAGAGACCCTAGCTAAGTAAAAAGGTCTTGACATCGATACAGCCATACTCGCAGCGCACCGATACCAATCGCAGCAAAATCAAACCCACTTCACTTTGTGGACCACAACAATTATATACGTATGTAGGTAGTTCCATTAATTAAGACAATCGACACAGACATATTCCCGAATAAGCCGGGAAAGCCAGTGGTGTTTTGCCTAACTCCTATCCATGTGGAATTCAAACAGGTCTGTCTGTTGACCAGGTATATATCCACTTGTAAATTCATTCTTACTTTGGTGATCCCAACGATTTTCATATCGCATTTTTGGCTTTCAAAGTTCGAGCCAATAGTCCCCCTCAAACAAGGGTCCAGGGGTCAATCTGATTTTAGATAAATGAGCCTGATGCAAGAGCTAGAAAATGCTCAGCTTGACTCGATGATCTCGACTCACGGTAGGTTGAACGATGCGAACAAAGACCACCAGAAGGTCCCCTTACATTGCAATTTTAAGGCAAGATTATTCCCACCGACTTGTTGCGTGAGAAACTCAAAAACACAGAAACGCTAAGCACTATAAGCTCCTACTTTCCCATCATGAAGAGCAAAAGACGTTTACAGTATATGATTTTGTTTTCCTTTTTTGCGTGCCATAGTGTAAGAACAAAAGGCAAATTATATTAATATTCTCGTGATAGGTGATTAATACTCGACGAGTTATCTTTAATGATACCGTTCCCCACGATTTCACAAGATTTTCCGCTAGTTACTAATTTAAGAATACCTGCCTCGGGGAAGCACCATATTTAGCGTGTCTAATTACTTTTGATATATATTTCCTTGACGTAACTCAAACAGGATGTTTTGAAATTGACGTAGTTACTCCATGAAACGAACTACTGCGTTGGCAGAAAAATTGACCAGACTCGACACTGGATTGAATGGAATTACCTGCAATTGTGTATTGCAATACGTGTTGTCATCCAAAGTACGGATCAATGAAGTGTAATCAGTCCCCTTATATAGATACCAATCAACAGTAAGATCATTTAATTTTCATCGTTGATCAACTAGACTCGATGACCTCGATTCATCGCTAGCATATAATTTAAAAAACTCCTACATCGCGCACTGTAGACCCAACGCTGCAATGCTAAGGTTAGATCTTATGAGGAAGAGATTAATAGACCCACTTTCCTTCTCAAAAATACCAAAAGTGCATGTCATGATTTGGTATAAAATTTAAAAAGAAATATCCCGAATAAGGAAAAAATAAAGGGAATTGCCCTGTTTCTTTCTCGGGGCAAAAACCCTATTTGATAATGTTTACTTTTCGTTTCGTTGACGTACCTCTAACTCAATGTCACGAAATTGACGTATGTAAAAACAATGTTATTTTCCTAAGAGACGTAAACTAAAATGCAAACTGCATAATTTGAAACATTGAAATATCTTAGGGAATGTCTGAACGGGCAATAATTACCGAAGTAGTTCTATATAGTTTTGCGTACGAGCCACGGTCTCCCGAGGGCTCCCTTTAATAGTTGAGTTTACTGCTTCAGAAAAAAAATTCCTAAAAACCCTACTATAGTCGGAACAATCCTAAATGCCAAAAAATAAATATCGGTCTAAACCTTCACGCGTATTCCAGCGGTATGACACAATTTAAAGATCTAACACATCTATCTCAATTTATAATAAAGGTCTTTATTAAGAATTATTGTGTAAACGAACGTGCAACAATTAACATGAATAGAATGAATAAGGAAAAAGAAAAGGTATTAATTACTATTGAAAAGACATCTATTAATAAAAACTGATTTAAAATGGCTTGTCTGAAAATTAGGTAAAATATAATTATGCGACGTAGTTCTCAACTGCAACCTAGTTCTCATTAATTCTAATTCTGCTCAAACAACTGTTACAAACAGTAGCTTAAATAAGATGATACTGTAGAATGATATAAAAGTCATGTAAAAGTAGTGGTCCTTCCGTTATCAACAGGCTTTCCTGATTAGTGTACACAGTTATATGTATGAACATCTTCCAAATATGTTTTCATATCAAGAAGACTTACTGTATTATCAGGGTTGATAACAAAAATTTATCACTTCATCTATTATTTCTCATCAGTGCTCTCCCCATAATGGCACCTTACTGGCATCTTGCTCCTATGACTTTACAGTTCGAACTTGGAACATTGCCAACGGAACATGTCCATTAGAGACTACAGAACACCACACAGAATTTGTTCTGGGATTAGATTTCAATCTTCATCTTCCAGGACAGGTAATTTTTACATTAAAAAAAAATATCTCAAATAAAAACTGATTTAAAATGGCTTGTCTGAACCTTAGGTAAAATATAATTATGCGACCTAGTTCTCAACTGCCGTGTTTTCTGGGGAGGTAAGAGCTTATCAATTCTACTTAAATATTTACTATAAAAAGCACACCCCAGACCTCAATAGCATATGGAAAAACTGAAAGAATCAAACTTTGAAAAAGTAAGTCCAAATTCTCAATAGAGTAGCCATAATATTTACATATTCTTCAAATCTACAACCTACTGCTAGCCTTACCAAGTAGATAATCAAAATGAGTGTCCCAATTAACTGGCACTTGCTCAAAGGTAACACCCAATATAATAGTTTCAGTTTTTCTTTCCTCCCTATGATCTCGAGTGGTTCAGGAGGCGTCTTGGAAGTCTTTCTTCGTAAAAGAAGTTCATGTTTTCGTCAAGTTGACTTTCATGCAGTTCTTCTCGGACCATTCAATAAAGGGTAGGACTTCCGTTTCGGATTCATCTAAGCCTACATTTGCCTCGACTGGTAAACTGATAGTTATATCATCAACAAATTTAACTAGGAGATTCTTATTAGTATTAACAACTTTGATATCGTTAATAAAAATAGAACATAAGACCGGCCCCAAGACTGTACCTTGAGGAACACCTCTATTATAGAAACATGTTCAGTACTATATGGCCATCGACAACAACTCTCTGCTTTCTATGATTTAAAAAAGTAATAAACCAATGAATAATATTTGGATTAATGTTAAACTGCTTTAATTGACTACAGAGGGAACTGCGTGATACAGAGTCGTGGAGTCTCAATCGACAAAAAGATTGCTTTGCGAGGCAGGTCACGATTACACGATTAACATGATTGCAACATACAATTGCAAACTAAGTTGACCTTGACTTGTTACCAGAGCGGAGTTGAATTATGTAGATTTGCCAGAAACATGCTCGTACTCATTAATGTCTGAATCGACTTCATGAAGGGTAATCAATTCCCTTAATTGGATACGGATAAATGGGAATACCATAATTGCTAGTAAGTTTCATTCATTATAATTATTCACAAATGTTTTCCTAAATGACCTAAATAGGCTAAATATGCTGATACATCGCTTAGTGCATTGCGTGAGTGCTGGAAATATCCCGACCTTTTTGTTGACGTCATTTGCAGCGATTATATATATATGCAAAGACATCATGGACGAGTGTAGACCTTTAACAAAATTTCTAAGCAAGAATCTCTCGTCAGGAAAGAAGGAGAAAGACATTTCTGAGGTAAACTATGGTTGTCATAGTCGACGGAAAGTTTGAAATAAAATTCGTCGACGGACTTGATGAGAGACTCAAATGCCCGATATGTAAGAGCATTTTCGATGAGCCCTGGCAAACGTCATGTGGACATCGCTTTTGTAGGAACTGTCTGGAACTTCTCTTCGGGTATGTCTAAAGTATCTTTTTTGACTTCTTAACTCTCCTCCGCCCGAAATTAAATAGGTTGAGAAAAAAAATTAATAACTATACCCTCTTTATATTAAAGTTGTTGTAGTGGTCAAGGTTTTCTATTATAAACTCTAAATTACCATCAATCGAAACTTTTACGTAGGTTTGACGAATATAAGGAACGGCCGGTCAATACAAACTAAAATACGTTGTTTAAGAAGCGTAAAATAATCCTGAAGACATCAATAGATCTTATATTTCCCGCTTAGTTGCATTGGGCGCAGAATATGATGGAACCATGGTTTGAGACATATGAAAACCTCGCCGGCCATCTGGCGGCTACTAAGCCATGAATGGCTGAATGGGCGCATGTCCAAGCCTGAAAATTTTTAAACTCTTAAAAGAAATGATAAACTGGTTTCTTTGAATGTAAATGCTCCAGAAATAAGCGTAAAATATGGTTCTCATGATTTTAAGTAACTCTAAGTGTACTTCATTTCAGCTCAGAAAATCCAAGATGTCCGGTAGACAATGAACCTCTTTCAATAAGTCAATCTTTCAGGGATAAATGCTGTGAGAGAGAAGTTCTTGATGTTCACTGTTTCTGTCGATTTAATGAAAAAGGATGCGATTGGAAAGGAGAGTTTAGACGACTGGAGGTATTTAGTGTGCAAACATGTATTCGTCTTTACCTGAGCAGTGCCGTAATATAAATCTTCCTGCCTTCGACTTTTTCTTGTTACGTACAGCCTAACGTACGCCGATGTTTAGGTGATGATAATCGGAGCTTCATCGGCTAAAACATAGTGAAGTAGATTTCCCCATCGAAAGAGAGAGTAACTGTTAATAGCCTCTGCAAAACACAGAATGCTAGGCTTGTCACGCACGCCAACATGTTGTGACATTGACAATCGAAGTATCACGCTAATGTTGGCAACTCTCGTAACTTCAAACTTAGAGGCTCAATTTAAAACGGTAATTCCATCGCAGACCTCCTCTTGACATTCAAATTTGAAGAGTAACGTGACTTCAAATTTTGAAGAGTAAGAACCAGCGGAAAATAAATGAAAAAGGAGGCATAGGAATGTACCATTCTTTAATGCTCAAGACTCTTTGTTTCAACAGTTACATGAAGGTAGCTGTCAGTACGGTGATATGAAATGTCAAGCGTGTTGTGAAACTATGGAGAGAAGACATCTCAAGGCGCACAGGGAACATGATTGCATCAGCAGGGTTGTGACATGTACTTACTGCGGTTGTGAAGTTCGGCATAGCAACATGAAGGTAATATGATTAACCATGTGTTAAAAACAAAACATAAACAAAGTGCAAAATCACCATATCTAAATAACCGATGGATCAACACTGACATGCCTGACGTTTGTCGAAACACAAGGTCCGACACACAATTACTTATCACCTTTGAATTTGTAACCAGTCAGAATCAAGTCTATTTTTTGAGTAGTTACTTAACTATTGTCATTCTTTCCTGTCAGTTCGAATTCGGTTATTTCTTTGTACATAGGAGCACTGAAAACAGACGTTGGCTAAGGTTCATGTTAATACGTACAAACACTTGGTGACAATGTTCATCAGCGTAGTGAGGCGTGCCGTGACCGACGCAAAGCAATACATTTTGTTGTAGTAGCTGCATCAGCGATGGTATACTAACGCTTAACCTGGCCCCAACTTGTATTTTATGTCTCTTGAAGGACCATTTAAATGTTTGCCTCAAGATTCCAACTCAGTACATCTTAAATTGTGGTGAAGAAGGCATACCAAAAGACGCGATGGAGGAACTCGTGACAACACATTGTCCCAAGGCTGAACATTTGTGTCCTTTTAGTATTCATGGCTGTGCATTTAAGGTTAGTGGATTAATTCCTTTATTTTGGTTCATCATGTTGGATATATTGCCACATGAGACCCTAAAAAAAATGGATGTAGAAGTTTCCAAACGATATATTTAGCTTAATTCTGTAGTTTACAAAGGCAAAGAAGGATTCATTTTCAATTAAGGAATTTAGAAAAAGCAACATTAAAGGATAAACTACAGAGAAACTATCGGAGTGTTGGAACATAAAATACTCTTAAATATCTGAAAGTAGGAGCAAACAAAGTTATGCGAGAATGTTTATTGAAAACGAAGATAAATTACAAGTTGCCTGTGTGAGTTGTGTTGTCAAGATCAAAAAGTAAAAGGAAAAAGATAAAAATAATTATTGTAATATCTTCTGCAGGGCGCTAGAAAAATAATCGATCAACATGTTGCCATTGGTATTGAGTCTCACCTAGAAATGATAAACCTTTCCAGTCATGAATGTGCCGAGAAATCAAAACAGATGGAAGAGAGGATATGTCATCTAGAAAAAGAGAACACTGGTTTGAAACATCAACTACAAAATCAAGCAGAACAAGTAGCAGTTGCAAGACAAAACATACTAACGCAACAGTCAAAGATGTGCATGATAGAGAATTCCATAATCGAACAAAAGAGGATTACTGAGAAACTGCTCGACGATTTAAAGCTTGCTGAAGCAACCAGATCCAACGGAAGTATTACCCTGACTCAGATGGAAGAAATAATGAACACGCTGCGAGAACACGAGAAGGATGTGAGCAGTCTACACGGAGAAGTGATCCGTTTGAAATCATCCCCTGCCAGTCCTAAAGGTGCGAGTGATTACCGAAAAAACTCCGGTGTGTCTCTCACTCGTGAGTATGAGCGCCGGCTGGATAGGAATGAGCACCAATTGGCACTGCACGACATTCAGCTGTCCGATCAGGATATGCAGATTCAAATGCTGGAGGCTACGTCGTATAATGGCACGTACATTTGGAAGATCGACCGCTACAGCCTACGCTTCCAAGAAGCTGTCGCTGGAAAGACTCCATCTATTTACAGCCCTCCTTTCTATGTAGGGCGGTTTGGGTACAAAGTTTGTGCTCGTCTTTATCCTAATGGAGACGGCAATGGAAAAGGGACACATATATCAATGTTCTTTGTTGTCATGAGAGGTGAATACGATGCTTTATTACCCTGGCCGTTTCTCCAAAAGGTCCACTTCCGACTAATAGACCAAGAAAGGATCCGGGACGCCAATGAAGCGTTTCGCCCTGAGCCTAATAGCACAAGCTTTAAAAGACCCACGTCAGATATGAACTTAGCATCTGGCTGCCCGACTTTCATTTCTCACATGGAATTGAGACAAGGAGGTTACATTAGGAACGACACAATGTTTATTAAAACAACAGTTGATACCTGTGGTCTACAAGGAAATATATGTTAATAAATTCCTGCCTGCTGTAGCCTTCCATGTCTTAGAGAGAGTCTGGAGTAGACAAGATCCCAGGAAATTAATATTTGAATTGTGACGAGAGAGGTTCCCACAAAAACTAAAATATTAACTTTGTACGTCGGATCAAGTTCTCTAAATCTAGCGCAAGGTTTGCACTACGTGGTTTTTTGCTATTCAAATACACTTCCTTGTTCTCTCAAATGCCAGGCCCCCGTGACATTTGTAAAGTATTTTAAGCATGGTATAGCTGACCATCATATAACTCTGACTTCTGAAAGCTAAGGTTAAAACATTACTGATGCTGAGAGCTGGAAACTTTCAATAAGTTTAACGATGAATGCGGAATAGCCCAAGTAGTTCTATCTCACAGCTATAATAGAGTAAAGGATGTCTCTTTTTAATCATGGTTTTAGCATATTATCAAGTACTTCGTAACTCTTTTGCAGACCTAATTTTTAAAATAATAATGTTAATTACATTGTTCAAGCTATGGGTTGAAGACTTTCAAAGAGTTCTATTAGAAAATATGTAAATAGTAGCTCAGGCAGGTCCACAAAGAGCTAGAAAATATGAAATATTTTAAAATGAAAATCATATTTAAAATACAGATACAAAACTTAAGGAACCATACTGATATATTTTTATTCTCAAAAGATATATATATATATTTTGTATAATTTCAGATTTCAGAGCTGAGCAAAGAGTTTCCAGCAATCTGATTGGCTGAGTGGTTCCTTATATGACGCTATATAAACCGCTCGACGCGGTTTATAAAAAATGTTAAAACAAAATGTTAATAAATGTTGCAAAAATGTCATGATTTAGAAGTTTCTCTGTTCTTCAGCTCTGAAATTATACTAAAACAATTATTCAAATATTCACCTCGCCTTCGGCGAATAATTGTTAAATATATATATCTGAGAAAATGTGGGATTACCTGATTTCAAATCATTTATATCAATGAAGAAGATTGAAATTTAAAAAAAAAAATCAAAAACCTTGTATAAAACAAGTGTATTTTTGGGACAAAAGAATTTATTAAAATTACGAGGCCAAATTAATCGCAACCTAGACCGACATTTTTAACTTTAAAAGACCACGAATGGACATAATTATTGCAGAATATCACATTGCTTTATCTACAAACTTCGTATAAGTCATGTAGCTGATGATGCACAGGTACAAATAAAGAATTTTTGGAGAACTCTGTGTTTTCATATATGCGTTTCAATCTTCTTTCCTATTACATTTTCAATTAATTCACTTCTCTGGCTCGACAGAAACTCCAGACACCTCAGAATGGAATACACCTTTTGAAGACTCTCAGAAAACCCGAGGAAAATTGGTACTAGATATTTGCTATAAGATAGAAACTCGTCTTTCCTGTTGGATATTGTTTTCGCCACTCTCCTTTTGTCTCCGGTACATAGTTTATTTTTTTTCTGGTCAAACTGAGAGAATTTTGTACAGCCCAACGGCTAAATTTTTTTTAATGAGCCAAAACTAGTATTATCTTACAGGCAACTGCCCTCAATGAATATACGATAAAAATTCGAGAATAAATGCAAACTATACAAACATGCCCCTTAGATTCAAATGGCTCAGCATTACGTCGATTAAGTGGATTCACAGTAACCCTGTCGTTAAGCTTAATGAACTATTTTTGATCACACGGTAAATGAAACATTCTCGAATAGCGCATCAAAACTACCTTAAATTGACTATTTTTATCACGTTATCACGGCGTTTAGGATAAAGAACATTCCGAAAATACCGAGCTGCAAATTGGATGCAAACGCCGTCTCAGAAAAGAATTGAAACTTAGAAAGTAATGTTGTTTTGCCAAAATCAAACTTCGGCTCTTAAATGAAATTAATTAGCTTTGCATAAACATAGTTTCAGTTAACCATTACAATGACTAAAATGATACTATTTTAAGAGAAATGGAGGTTATTCAATTACCTACAAGGAAGTTAAATACTTCCGAAAAACAAGAGTGATATAACTTTAGAAAAATATATGTACGTACTCCAAAGTATTAACTGGGATTTTAGCCCTCAGCTCTTTCTTTGAAGCACTGACTTCGTCCATTTCCCCAACAGGTCGAACTACGATTTACTCTTTCCCGCTATTGAGTGGCGAGAAAGCGGAAGAGAAAAGTGCCTTTCCTTAGTATAAAATTCACTTCCCAGTCGAGGATCGAGACCAGACCTTAACCTGCATCAAGCATCCCCAGTC